AAAAATAAATAAAAGCCACAACAAGAACAACTACAAACAAACAAACAACAAACAACAACAACAACAAACAAACACCCCCCCCCCTACCACTGCCCGGATGGAAACAAAGTAGATTGTTTAGGAGGCGGGCCACTTCAACTTTGATGAGGACGATAATGCATCCCAACGGAAAGATACAGATACCGGCAGCAGTCCCCTCGATAAAATATTATTATATATCCCAAAGCGGGAATTGAATTCATTTCTTACTTTTACGCAATGGACAAGGGCATTGTACCACAGACGCTCGTAATGGGGCGCTGACGAGTGAAGTGAAGTTGGTCATGGCGGAGACAAAGAAGTAGTCATCTCCAGTCAAGGTACACTACAAATCTTGTTTGGGGTCCTTTCGACAAGTAAAATAAAAACGAAACTGAAGGCGGTTTTATTTCTTGCACTAGATTATAGCTGAGTGTCACATTCTGAGCGATTACTGCTTGTTTGCACGCACATTTCGACTTAACGAGCTAACGTTTCAAAGCTTGAGACGATGACTTTAACGGCGGGTGTAACGGTGATCGTCTGACCAGTTCAAATTTGAGCACAGATTATGGCGTCCAGATGATCAAACATAATTCCTCTGACATTTGGCTCAGATCCGCGCCAAATTGGAGAAGTTATTAATTGTTTTCTCACGGTCACCCACTTTGGGACAGTGGGTATTTTCTGACACAAAAATGTACTTACGTATTCTGACCCTCAAGAACGTACTAAATGCGTTTAAAAAATACTACACTTGTTGGCGACTGCTGTGCAATGGAATGGACGGTCTGACGCCTGCTTGTAAAAAGGTTCGCCTTCAAAAACGAAAACAATGTCTTACTGTTTTCTTCTTCTTTTTTTCCTCTTTTTTAGACCGTTGCACTGCGTCCATATACCATAAGAACAATAATGTTAACATTTTTAAAAAAAGAATTAAGAAGTTTAACCACCATTAATTATCTGCGCGTTGATCCATCGTTCTGAGATCTCCAGAAGTATCAGATTAATAGTAAAGGATCGGCCACACTTTTAAAACAAACTAAATTTCTGGTTTAAATTAAAGCTTGGTCTAATACATTTTTTGTGTGAATCGTGCCACGCCAAAAACCACATAAAAGGTACTTGGTTAGACCTTTCGAAGATAGAGTAACTACGGAGAAAACAATATTACCACATTAGCAAGGGGATAAAGTTTAGAGAAGAAAGAAAGGGTCACAGACTCTTTCTCTCTCTCTCTCTCTCTCTCCCTCTCTCTCTCTCTCTCTCT